CTGTGCCAGCGTCTCACCACCCTCACAGTAAAGAATTTCTTCTTTATATCTAATCTAAATCTACCCTCTTCCAGTTTAAAACCGCTACCCCTTGTCCTACCACTACATGCCCTTGTAAAAAGTCCCTCCTCAGCTTCCCCGTAGGCCCTAGTGTAGTAAAAACAAGAGCTGGCAAAGATGAACTAACAGAAGGATCATGAATGACTGTGTAGTCAAGAAAGCTAAATTCAGTACAGGTAAGTGGAAAGCAACTGTAAAATTCATAGAAAGTTATGGGCTTCAAGCTAACTAGTATTATTCAAAACTTTGGATTTATGACAGATAGTTTCATGAAAGTATCAGTTCAGTGCATGAAGTACTTAAAAGCCGAATAAAATAATTAATAAAGGAAGACAGAATGAAACCGAAAACATTACTGTTTTCTAGAATCACAGGAAAACTGAGTTCGGAAGGGGCTGATGAGTCTCCTGTCTAACCTGCTCAAAGCAGGAGGTCACCTGCATGGTCAGAACAGGATGCTTTGGGCTTTTTCCAGGCACGTCTTAAGAGCCTTCAGGGTTCAACAGAGCCTGCACAGCCTTTCTAGGCAACTTCCTTCACTGCCTGCCTGTCCCCATGAGGGAAAACGCTTCTCATACCCAGGCCAAATCTCTCTATCTCAGCTTTCTCCTATTGCCTCTCATCGCCCCTGTACTCACGGTTGTGAAAAGCCTGGCTCCATCTTCTCAATGGTCATCTAATGCAGACCATCCCATAGCTTCCCAGGTTGACTTTTTGTCCTGCCCACAGTTAACCAGAAATCTCTTTGATTCTCCATGGCCTTTCAAAGATGATAGAAAATGGCCTTGCTAAGGCTTTCCCCTGTTATCTCACCACCACTGGGAGCGACTCAGTGGGTCCTGTGGACTTACATGGGAGAAGTTTCCTTGAGTAATCTCTGACTCAAGCCTCAACCACTGCTCAGAGTTCCTCTCCCACAGCTAAGCACAGTGGGAGGTCTGGGAGACCCCATCAGTGAAGACTGAGGCAAAGTAAGGCACTGAATACCTCAGCCTTACTTCAGCCTGCTGTCACTAAATCACCTGCTATATTCAGCAACGGAATCCTGTTCTCCTTGCTCAGCCTTTTTTTTGACAGGTGTAGCATCAAAACCTGTTCTTGTTACCCTAGACATCCCTTGAGGCATCAACTCTAGGTTAGCTTTCACTTTCCTAACATCATCCCTTCAAGCCTGAGCAACATTTCCAAATTCCTCCTCAGTAGCCCATTTCTGCTTCCAGGTCCTGCACACTGTCTGTTTGCATTGCAGCTTAGCAATCAGTTCCCTGAGCAGCAGGATGGACCCTTCTTGCAACCAGACAAAGTTGTCAGCTTTCCTGGAGTCCTCTGCCCTTCAAAGCAGATTCCCATAGGATCCCAGATACCAACTTCTTGAAGAAGCCAAAGTCTGCTCTCCTGAACTCAATGGTGTATACCCTGCTACTCCTTCCTTGCTCTCATCAGGGTCTTGAACTCCACTATTTCACTGCCACTGCAGTCAATAGTAGCCACATTACTACATCTCAAACCAGTTCTTCCATTTTAAGGAAGAGCAGATCAAATTTTGCATCACCCCTAGTTGGCCCACTAGTACCTGTATCAAGAAGTTGCTCCAATAGTCTCCAGAAATCTGGTTTGCTTGTGCACCACTGTGTTGGACTTCCAGCAGCTGTCAGGACATTTATTAAAGCGGGGACCATGGGAACCACAGATCACGATCCAGAGACCTCCTTGACTTTAAAGAAAGCTTTGTCCCCATCCTCATCCTGAGGATGGTGGTCTGTAACAGACTAACTAGGGTGGTATCTTTACCAGCTGCCCCTCTGAACCTGACCCTCAAACTCTCATCTTAAACTGTCACCTTGTCTCATACAAGTACTGAATACATTTGAGCTGCTTCTTCACAAGGAAGGCAGTGCCCTTCTTTGCCATCCCTACTTGACTTTCCTGAAGAGCTCGTGTCTGTCCATCATATTCCCTCATAAATTCATAGTCCACTCCTATCTTAAGAACTTTCCTGATCCCCAACTAAAATGCTACTAGAGCTAGAAAAGATCTGGAGAACAGCAACAAGGCAGATCAGAGGTTAGAAGAGATTCCATCTAGGCAATAATTCAGCAGTCAGCTTGGAAAAAGAGACCATCAACCTGTTGAAAGAGAGTATGACAGAACTGTAATGGCAATCAACTTTTAACTGTCTTATCTACAGGAGACATGGAGGCCACCAGACAAAGCTAGCGAGAGCCAGGTTTAAAAAAAACAAACAAAAACAGAGAAACAAAAAACCCACACACACACACCGCCCACCTCACCCCCTCAACTCAAAAACGAGGCAGTTCTTCATACAATAGGGAGCACAACTATGGAATTCCAACCCCAAGGTCCCTATGGGTACAAGAAGTTTGCCAGGTTCAAGGAAGACAAGTGCATGAAAGACAGGTCCACTGAGGACTACCAACTAAACAGACTGCAAAAGATCATGAAACTTGCCCGAGATGAAAGCACTTGAAAGCTGGAGTGTGTTTTAACAGAGCAGTACCACGCATACTGTTTGTACTCCTCTACAGTCATCCATCTGTGGAGATCACCAGGCAGAACACTGATCTAAATGGACTCAGTCTGACGTAAAACAGCCAGCACTATGAAACTAACAATATTAGTTTATCTGAAGTGCTCCAGCCTGACAGTGATATATTAAAAATTTATATTATTTTATTTGCTTCCTCTCAAAATGTCAGACTTTGAAGAGTTACAATATGCTGAACTTGCTCCCTGTAGACTAAAAAAAACAAATTCCCCCCATCCTATTCCAGTTTTACCCACAGTTTTCTGTGAGTTTGGACGCTTTTGAATATATCTACATATTATTTACAGAAACATATACAGATTTAGCAATCACTTCTAAAAAAAAAAATCTCATAAAAGATGGATTCATAAAGTTTACGTACAATGAATTATTGATATTAGAACATTAAATTTCACTAGATAAACTGCAGTATCAGTACTCATTACCCTATTGACTTTTTTTTTTTTTTAAAAAGAACCAAACCAAAAAAGTAAGCAACTTTTAATTCAGCTACATATACACAAAACCAGACTATGAGCACACTTATGGTCTGTTAGGTAAAACAACCAAAACCAGGCACAACTGCATCCATATCACACCTTCACTATCCTCCTTCTCAAGTTTCTTTCTCTGTCATCTATATCGTCTATCCTTCCCTCTGTATCTTCTCTGTCATCTTCCATCTATATCTTCTCTGTCATCTTCCTTCTTTACCTGATCTCCTTCTATGACAAGGTGACCTACTTAGTGGGTGAGGGAAAGACTGTTGATGTTGTCTACCTGTACTAAAGCCTTTGACATCATTTCCCACATTTGGAGAAACTGGCTATTCGTGGCCCGAACAGGCATACACTGCTTGGTAAAAAACTGGCTGGATGGCTAGGCCCAAAGAGTTGTCATGAATGGAGCTAAATGCAGTTGGCAGCTGGTAACAAGTGGTGTTCCCCAGGGCTTAGTGCTGGGGCCAGTTCTCTTTAATATCTTTATTATCAGGGGATCGAGTGCATCCTCAGTAAGTTTGCGGACAACACTACATTGGGCAGGCATGTCAATCTGCCTGAAAGCAGTTCTGCAGAGGGACCTGGACAGGCCAGATCGATGGGTTGAGGCCAACTGCATGAGCTTCAACAAGGCCAAGTGCCACATCCTGCACTTGGGCCACAACAATTCCAAGCAATGCTACAGGCTTCAGTCAGAGTGGGTAGAAAGCTGCCTTTAGGGAAAAGGCTGGCTGACAGCCGACTGAACATAAGCCAGCAGTGTGCCCAGGTGGCCAAGGCAGCCAACAGCATCCTGGCTTGTATTAGGAAAAGTGTGGCCAGCAGGAGGAGGAAAGTGATTGTCCCCCTGTACTCAGTGAGGCCGTATCTCGAGTGCTGTGTTCAGTTTTGGGGCCTTCATTACAAGAAAGACATTGAAGTGCTGGAACGGGTGCAGAGAAGGGCAACGAAGCTGGTGAAGGCTATGGAGCATAAGACTTATGAAGAGGATTTGAGGGAACTGGGGTTGTTTAGTCCGAAGAAAAGGAGGCTGAGGGGAGACCTTATTGCCCTCTACAACTACCTGAAAGAGGGTTGTAGTAAGGTGGGTGTGGGTCTCTTCTCCTTTGTGACAGGTGATAGGACAAGAAGAAATGGCCTAAAGTTGCGCTAGGGAAGGTCTAGGTTGGACATCAGAAGAAACTATTTCACTGAGAGCGTGATTAAATACTGGCACAGGCTGCCCAGGGAGGTGGTTGAATCACCATCCCTGGAGGTGTTCAAAAGACGTATTGACATGGTACTAAGGGACACGGTTTAGCTCCAGACTTGGTAGAGTTTGGTTATGGTTGGACTTGATGATCTTAAAGGTCTTTTCCAACAAATTACCTGATTTTACCATCAGTTACTCCGTCTTTTATCCTACTCAGCTATCTATTTCCTTGTAGCTATTCTAGTAAGCAATCCATGACTGAGAGCATCTCATTTCCTCTACCTACTTCCATTGTCAACCACTCCGTTTCAGTTATTTGCATGCATTTCTTTCATACTAAAAAGTCTGTTCCTTATCTGTAATCCAATTTTCACGTGTTTTTAGGCATCCACAACTGTCACTGATGTCAGCGTGAGCTGCAGACACCCAGGATCTTCAGAGACTCAACTCCTTGTCTTCAACAGCTTTTTAGTAAGAAGTATTTTGAAGCTTCACTTAGTTATGCTACAGCTACACTTCAATCAGACTTATGGATGAGCAAGTTAAGAGATGCAATAAATAAATAATGCTCAAAAACATCTCATGCAGTGGCCTAAACTTCCCAGGAAAACAGATATCTTAAGTCATCCACTTAGAATAAGATAACTCACCTCACATTAAATACAATGAAGAGTACACACAGCTAATCGAAGAGGTTGCTTACCTGAATGACAGCACTAAACCAGCACGTGTTGCCAACATTCTTTAATCCTACTGGACAGTTGTCTTGCCGCTTTCGATCATAAGGGTTTGGAGAGTCACTCCATACTTCTGGATGCGTCCTCTTTAAACTTGCTTTATTTTCTGCAATACTGGCTTCTAGAACTCTTTGGGAACAGAAGGGAGGAAAAAAAATGTAAGAAAAAGAAAAAAAACAGACATAGTAAAACACCTTCAGTTACTAATAAAGACATCTTAATTACATCATTCACTAACTTACTATTGCTTGGTTTTAAATTTATATGCAATAGTATGTCTTCAGAAGTAAGATGCTATTTTACTTTTAGATATTTTACAGTAATTTCATTACCCTTTTGGAAAATGGTATCAGTGAGTGAGTGTACCTCCTATGAGAGCTCTTGCACATACAAGAGCCATGCCTGTAAGTCATCAACTATTTAAGAACCAGATTCAAATAGGATGGAGAGCAAGAAATTTTAGGCAGCACTATTAGTGTAGTGCTTTCATCTACAAATGCTTTTATTGGTATGCGAAGCACAAAGTCACCAATATTTATTTTGCTGACAGGAAACCAAAGCTAGTTAGGCAGCTTTCAAAACTAGAAGATGCTTTTTTAGCTTCCACTTTTGCATCTTTTGCAACTGTATTTATCACTTTACATAGCAAGCAATTCCTTTATGAGCCATGCAAAGACACCTCTCCACAATTTTTAAAATGTCAGTCAACGAGTTAATTGTACGCTTCAGTGACCACACTCTTTGCAGGAAACTGCTCCTACATGATTTCTGCTGAATGTCCACATCTCACAAGACAGTAAAATCTGATGTGTGTTATGTTCCTAAACTCAAGCTTCACTCCACACAGTATTTCTGTATCAGCACATATCCTTAGCTTGATTTGTGGCAGCCACATATTCTAAATAGAAAGATGGAGATGAATACATTCAGGTCATGTAACAGTGGCTCTAAGTCAGAAGCAGAGTTGCCTGGCACATGCACTACTGACACAGCTGCTATGCCCAGCCACCTACTCTGAGTATCATACAAAAGGCTGAGCTGTGATTGAACTACTATGTTTGCCAAGCATGGGATTTCAGGAGCTGCAGGAAAAGCATCACAGTAGTCCGTGCAGCCTGAAGGGTTCTGCCCTTGGTTCTAGACTCTCTGAACATCAAAGAAAGGCACGTCTAGGCTGGTTTGTAAATGAAGTTACTGAAGGACAGAGTTTGAACACCTTGGAAAAAATAAACAGAGGGTAAAAAATAAAAAACAAACAAACAAAAAAACAAACTCCCCAAAAATATGACATAACCCTAACTGTAAATTTTTGTTTCAAGCTAGGCTCTTGTCAAAGTAAGAAAAGGTATCTTACAAGATGTACAAGAACTGCGAAGCATTACATGAATTTGCTTTGAGGGGACACGCTAATTTGTTATTTTTACTCATTTTGAAAACAAAACAAAAAACAACAAACAAAAAACCCCAGCATTCAGAATTCGAGAGCCCACTTGGTATAAATACCACTTTTCCTCTTGAGAGGAACCTAAAACTTGTAAATTCCTAAGGATTAATTAATTTCTGACATTTTGTTTTTGACATATAGCCTTATAAACAGCACAGCTTTTTTCAAAAGACACTGAAAGGACAAGTATATAAACCTCTAGGACTTTCTGCTCTGACATCTCTTCAAACAATACACAGGGACAGAACCTCATTCTTCAGTAGTAAAAGATTCTTACACTACCAATGCTAATGTTATCTCCTAAGCAAAACCCCAAATGTAAAGAAACAGTCAAATTCATATCCCTTCTCAATGATACAATCCTTCAAAAGTGTTAGATGACCAGTGCTTCAAATAATTTCTCATTCAGGTAGAGTCACCAAAACTCCTGCTTAAGACTAAATTTAAGGGACCTTTAAAACTGACAGGAAAACTCTGACAGACTGGAATAGGTTTAGAATGTTGTAGCATGACTACAATACGTACTCTGTACCATTTTTGTTTCATAAAAAAAAAATATCAAACTTTTCCCCCACCCCCCAGAGCTCAAGAATATTTCAAGATATTTCAAGATTCAAGTTCAAAAAAATGTAAATTCTCAAACTGAAACAGCTCTCTGACCCCAAGGCTATTACCATTTATCAACTTAATTACCTACTAAAATTTCTTCCTGTATTTGTTTTTGTATTTCTTTAGCAGGTGAAGGATTTCCTCATCTCTAGCTCCACCTAAAATCTGTTTTCATGTCTTAATGAAGTATTTGATTCTCAAAGCTTCATAGTCTTTTTGTTGAGGTTTTTTTTTTGTGTTTGGTTTTTTTTTCCCTTATAACATTATCTGTCCTCAGAGAGCACATGCAATAGTTACACACCTATGTGCCAAATTCATTTTCAGCCACTATGACAGCTGTGAGGCAAACAGAGCACAGTAAAGAGGAACCTAACTATCAGCTCAAAAGCTACATAAATAAATGTATTTACCAGCATAGTGAGTATACCTTTTACGCTATCATGTTCACTACATCATATTCATACAGTCCTGACTTGGGAGACTACCTTTATAAAGCATCTTACTCGTAGACTGCTCTCAAAACAAGCATCCTTCCAAAAAAATCGGTACAATGTTTTAGCAATTCAGATTAAGCAGATGAAACACCATCTTTGCGACCCTCGGAGACCACAACAGCAGTCGTCAGCAGCAGAGCCATAAGCTACGTGCCAGATACAGCATATCCTAACCTCATGGGACCAAAGGCTTCCCCACCTCCAAATGCTGGAATCTTGTTTGGAGAGAAGCTCTGGAGTGAGGGTTAGTTAAATGCCAGCCTTGGCATGGGACCCGAGAGCAGTCTTTTATTTCTCTCCGTAACAAGCTGGGCATCGCCAAGCAGCTTTTCAGAGCTGCCTCCATGGCGCCACCCAGGCCATGCAATAGGCCTCGGGCAAAGTGAGGCCACAGCACAAAAGTTCAGGCGCACTCTTTTCAAGCAGCCCAGTAAACAGGCTGCAGAAAAGCCCACTCCAGCAGGCTGCTCAGCAAGAAAGACAAGGAAAAGTCTTTACACTGGAACTGTCTTACAGCTGGACCATCCAGGAATACCCCTAACCCTACATCCCTCCTCAGTTTCACCTCTGATCTACACGCACAATGCTTAACCGTGCAGAGTCCCCATCAGTTTCAATGGCCATGTTAAAAAAAAAATAAATTAAAAAAATAAAATCTAAGGATTGTGCAGATCCTTACGCACTTGCAGCATGGGCTCTCATTTTCATACGGCTACCCTAGGCACAACACAGGCCAGCTGATTTCTCCTTTCAGTCATATCTCACTCGCTTCGCCAGTGAAGCCCTATCTGGCCAGCCTCATTCTCCTTCAGTCCACGGAAAGTAATGTAAACAGGAGGAACCTTTTCGTATCAGGAAATACACCGATCATGCACATTTCCCTGGGATATTTAAAGAGAGAATAGTAACAAATTTTAAATGTGCCACATTTAAATGTGCCAAGATGTTCAGCTTGGACACCTGGACATTTCAGCTGCACTCCTCTCAACACCTACATAGTAACCAGACCTGTCCTCATTAAGTAGCACAAGCCAATTACATTCAGGAAGACAAATTCTATGTGCATTACAACATTAATTACACAAGTCAAGAAAGTCCATTAATGTTCCCTTGGAAATTTTAACAAAAATCAGCGTCAATCAAGTTCCAAACCACTATGAATACCTTTGAAAAAAAGGTATCTTCCACACCAAAGACTACTTAAACATGCACACATTCTACATTATTAAAAATGAAACATTTCCATAGTTTAATTTACTTATTATTGCCTTCCTATTTGATTTCTGCTTCTTATTTAACTCAGAAAAACGAAAGTAAATGGCTGCAGCTTGGCTTGTTTACAACCAGTGTTGTACTTTTTGTTTTGAGAAGTCCTGCACAGATACTGTGCTTGCTATTGGAATGCCAACATTCCTCTGTGGGGTGTTAACTACAAAGTGATTTTTAGGGTTTTTTTTTTTTAAACACAATCTGAAGTCCTGTTCTTAAGGAAACTGAATGAACAGTTCAAATCAAGAATTCTGAACTTCCTGGGTTTGTACAACTCTGACATAATTTGCCATCAACTCAGGTTGTATCTTGGTACGTAACTGAGTTGATCCAATACCCCAGTGCTGCCAACACCTTCAAGATTGTCACTCTTCTCTGCCTCCATTCACAAGCAAAGTCCCGTCTCCCTTCCTTGTGCCATGATACACGCTGGATCTTCTACTGAATCAATTTGTGTGGCTTTGGGAGTTGAATGCTCCAAAGAATACTACAGCAAGTATAGAAGATGCGATACAGCATGCAGGCCATATCCCCCTTGGTAGCGACAAGCTCTTAATTTGGTACATGTGTAATTTTGCCATCAAATATACAACTCTTTCATCAAAAAGGCACCATTTTTCTCAGTATATAACTGAGCAAACTGATAAACATTCCATTGTAGATATGGGAAAAAAGGCATACTTTTTTTTCCTGTAACCAGAAAAAAAACCACCATAATTTAAGGAAAATGTATTTATAATACTTAGTTATAGGGTAAGCAGGTATGACCAAAAGGGGCTTTTTAGGCTGAGAAGTGAAAAACAAAGTCTACAGGAAAAAAACTAAAGCTTCAAAGCTCCCGAGAAGTGAGGACTGCAGGAGCAATCAAAGCTTGGAGGAGGAAAAAAAGGGAAAAAGTTTTCCACAGCCAGAAATGGGTCCATCTTTCTGAGTGTTTGCCTAAATCACAACCCTGTAATTATGACCATTCTGTCCTTCAAAAAGGAACATGCAAGAACTGAACTTGAGAGTCAGAACTGGACAGAACTTTCACCAGCATACTGCATACATGTACATACTGAGGTCTTAGAAAAAAAAACAACCCCTTCAAATAATCTTCTAATTATTAATGAGAATATAAATCCCTTCCATCCCACCTTTCTCTTCTAAAATATATTATCTCAAACTCATATAACAAGATTAATTTTATCACAAATTGGGGGAGGGAGGGGTATGATTATTCTCACAATTTGTACATTTATTTTTCAAAAGGAAAAAGAAAATTATTGTGGCTAAGTAATACTCTCCATAGTCTCAGAGTTGGACTTTTCTGATAAGTCATTTAGTTTGTCAAATACAGTGAACTGAGGAAAAGAATTATTGTGATGAATCTCCCCCATCTAAATAGTTTTTTTATAAAATTAGTCTTTTACAAGGAGGCAGTACTTAAACTTCTAACACAAGGATCAAATCATTGCCTTTTTCTCCTAGAACAAGGCCAGACACAGATGAAAAAACATCAGCATCCTTCCCACACAACACTACACTCATGCTTAGTTCAAGTTCCAAGTATTTCATAATTATATCTATATTAATATATAAACACACACTGTGCAAAAAAGTTGTCATAAAATCTGATTAAAAGTTAACTTACAAACTTCTGCCCAAGTTGAGAAAGTTCACAAAACTTTAAACCAAGAAGTTAACTTCACTCAAAGCTTATAAATCCTATTTGTTAAATAGGTTAATAACATACTTTGTCAGCTAAAATACAGCAGCTGCTCTAGGCGTACTCAAGTCATAGCATTACTACACGCCCCCCCCCAATCTTAGCCTTAGCACAGAGGTAAAAAAATTTATTGTAAAGTGAACACTGCAAAAAAACAGGACAAAGAATTTATTAGCATCTTAATTATATTTTGTTTTCATTGCTTTTTACCTGATAGACAAGAGAAACTTTTAGTTTTAGATCCTATTTAAATACAACCATATATCCTCTATCTCCATCCACTTCCTCAATATTTAAACAAATGCATCAACATGAAACATACTATTAAATCCTAGCCCACACATAATAGACTATTTTCCAGTGTAGAACATACAATACATTAAAGCAATATCCTGAAGCCAGGCATATGAGTAGCACAAGTGAAAGTAAACAAGTTATTCTTTGTTAAATTAGAATACAAGCAATACAGGCCAATCTCCAACTCTTTAATTTAATTTCTGCTTTATATAAGTTGTTTGTTTACCTGCTAATGGCTTGTTCCTCATCTGTTATTCCAGTCTCCCTGAATGCCCTGTTTGATTCCTCCAAACTCAAGGCAATTGCCCTCTGAAGATCATCTTTATCATCTCCAGTGAGATCAATCACATCTGAAAAGCAAAACTATCTTTCTCAAAATTAAAAGCGAAACAAAATGAAAGGCAAGTCTTACTGTAGAGGAGAGAGAGCCCACGTGGATTGCAGAGCGCCATTCCAGTCCATCCCTCCTGCGCTCTTCCAACCACTAACACTGCTCACTGCTCCCTTCCACCTCCAAGCCAATTAAAAACCCCAGCAGCTTGCTCTTGCTAATTCATGACAGGCAACGTTCTTCCTTCTAATGATCTTAAGTTTCACAAAGCTATGGGACAAATTTGGGAATTCATGGTTTCTGGAAGCCCTCTTCAAGCAACACACTTAAATTGTATTACTTCAACTACTGTAATCAATTGCTTCCAGGAAACACATAATGGAGATAACCTCCTCTTAAAAAGGAAACCTTAACGGAGCATAGTTTTCTCTCCTCATGGAGGAACATGTGCAGAGTTTTTCCAATACAGCCCCAAATTCTACAAGTATTTCTGTGCACTGGTGAGCCAAATACTTTCACACTGTTTTCTAACATGTGGGAGAGTTCCTTACATAAGCCCGATTCTTTTCTGTCCTGGCTGTGCATTCCTTTTCTGAATGTATTTAAATACAGTTTCTGTCTACGGGAAGTATCCCATCTCAAAAGAATTAAGAAAACAAATACTGAAGTCAAAATGAGGATCCACACATGTAGGGAATGCTGGATGGGCTACTGACTGGGTAATGAAGATGAACACAGCCCTCCTCCTTCATCTCCAGCTCCCATTACCTAAAGAATCAGATATTAACGTCCTCTGTAAACCTCTCTGTTTCCTGAGGGTAGTGACAGCACTACTGATCCTGAGTAAGGAGGGATTTCACTATGCACAACACAATGCAACACCAGTCACCCCCTCGTGAGGCACAGCCATGCTTTCAGAGCGGCCAGGGCCAACAGCACTGTCCATCAACTGCACAAGACCTTCAGAAAAGACTAGGTCATTGGTTGTCATGATTTCAAGGGTCAAAACTTTCATTTTGCAAGTCAGCCAGACAGAAAGAGAGGGGAAAGAGCAAAAGAGACTTATATGTGCAATATTAGCAGACATGTACATGGAGTGTTGGTCTGGGAGAGGGGAGACCGAAACCAGCTAAAGTTTACCCAAAGAGGTATGAAAGAGACTACTCTCCAGCCTGGGATTTGGATGTGAGAACCTAGAACGCTTTGGGAGAGAGAGATACAGATTCAAAACTGATGACTGCTCACAAAGAGATGAGTAGCTTGTCTGCATTTCTCTTTCCACAGGTCAGCTCAATTACTTATACCCAAAGAGATTCTCCGTCTACCTTCTGACTTTTTCCCGGATGGGCTGACTCACTGTAGAGACAGATTCCCCTGTTTCCCTGGGTTACTTGGCTGTGACAACTCCCACTGTAATAAAACAGTGAACTTGTGATACAGAAATCATTGCCATAGCTGTGTATGAACAAAAAATGGCATGACTTGTCCTCAAAGAAAGATGAAACTGAAGAGAAATTGTAAAAGAAACTTTTCTGTTAACATTAGCATTTTAAAAAATTAGTTTTCAACTTAGCCCTTTCTTCCCCCAAATAAAGATGGTTGAATTTCTATTTGATCTAGTGAGCCTTTAAAGAAAGCACTCTTACCTGCAAAGTAAACTGGGCAGCTTGTCATGATCTGGAAGTACGGAAAAACGCTATGACCACAAAAGTAGCACTTTATAATGTTATTCTTATGTCTTTTATAGTCAGCTCAGATCTTCCAGCATATCAGAAGGATACTTCAACCAGGATGCCTGAAATTCTCCTTCAGAAGTAGCAAAGCAATTACAAGAACCACCAACAGAAGTCTCACTCAGAGGAGCTGCCACATTGAGAACAACGTAATCTGGGCTAAAACGATACCTCAACCTGGGTCACAGGAAAGCACAGCTCTGTTGTACAGCCTGAAAGCAGAAGAAAGGCTAGAAAGGCTGACAGCGATGACTGGGTCCCCTGACCACATGCACTACTTGTTACACTCTAAAATGTGGTGCTGATGTTGTATTTTCTACCCATTTGCAGGCACACATAAGCACCTCATCTTCACTGAAGACAGCTGTTTTTCTGCATGTAGTAATGGTCACAACTGAAGATGGAGTTAATTCTCAATCCAGCAGCCACATGGGCTGATGGAGAAGTATGGGATGACTCCTATCACTTACTTACAGAAGGGAATATTCCTTTAGCCAGTCCTAGGCAGTTAAGAGTGATGAAATTCTTATACAATAATAAAGAAGAAAGTCAGATTAAGAAGTAAGCTCTTTTATATGGGGAGTATATTCCAGAAAATAACTCATAACCTAACTGAAAATTATGTGGTTAACAAAAGCTCCCACTGTTATTAAAAAAAAAAAAAACAACAAAACAAACAACAAAACAAAATATCAAGGTCAACTCCAACTTACACTTCCCTTAAATTATTCAGCTTCTTTGCACCTCCCTAGCTCCTTAATCTTTATTAATCTATACCACCCTATGTGTTCAGAAGTTTATTACCATCCATATTACCAGTGACTACATCACTTCAATATTAAAACCCCAAATCCCTGACTTCCGCTTGCTTTCAGAAAGCAGATCAACACAACAGCTTCCTTTGGCATGCAAGGGTTTTGGAGCAAACGCTACAGGATTATTTTTAGAAATGCTGTTTTCACATATGCATGGACCTGATCTGAATGAAAAAAGACAATAGAATGAAGACCTGCTACCAGATACTACTACCACCAGTGAGTGGTACAATCAATTTATGTCACAGAAGGTTTACCTAGCTTAACTTACGTCAGAAAAATACATTTCTAAATATCAGCTAATCCATGGTAACCTACTCCGTGCAAGCTTCTAGTTTGTAGCAAATGTTAAAAAAAAAAAAGAGAAATGTTCGGAGACTTAGGCTAATGTATTTTAGTTCATGTTTGCTGTACTTGGAGCGGGTCTTTTTCAGCATCTCAGCTGACACAGTAACTAACTCTTCTGTAACATCCCACTTATGACTTGAATCCCAAGTCATAGGATTATAAAGAGGAAATCTCAAAGAAGTCGTAACAAAAGGGGAATGGTCTGAGACTAAACTCATCTTTTAAAAACAAAAAAATAAAAGTATCACCTAGTCTGCAGTTTTCATTCCTGTCGGTTGGTTATAGACTATACAAATGTACATATACTACATGAAACTCATCCAGGGGGTTTTTTGTTTTAAAATCTTCATGTTTTTTAAATTCTTACATGGGGATTTTTTTGTGTGTGAAAAGATGTCCAATTTTCAAGCAGTTATTCTACAAGTACAATCACTTTGCTTTCTCTCACAATCATTAATAAGTTCAACATTAACCTAGTTTTAAAATACTTATTTCACTTCTATTTTACAGTGTTAATGCAAACCTATGAGTGTTTAGTTTATAGCAATTAGTAGTGGAATTCATTCAAGAAACAAACCTACTGAAGTTTCCTTCACACTAATTGATTTCTGTGTTCACAATCTGAGTGTGAAGGAAAAAAAGCAGCTGACTTTTACTTGAAGTATTTATCAGAGACACATGAGTTTCCTGTGATAGGCTGAAGGATGCATTTCATAAAGGTATTAAGAATAATGCCACTTCTCCAAACTTACAGTTACCTGACTTTAATTTACATATGTCGATTTTATAATACTCCTCTCATTGAGGCCACAGAATGCTTTAGCCCTCACTGGCTCATCCTCATAAAGGTACTTCTTATTGGATATCACATAGCCTTAGAAAACACAATTCTCAACGAAGCCATGACTACTAAACAAATGAAAGAAGTTTGCTTCTGAAAAAATTCTTCATGAATTAAAAAACTGCTCATCAAAACAGTCTGGCTTAGCATGTTCACAATGTTTATTCAACTAAAATTAACATGCAGAATTAATCAACTGTTTTACTAACAAATGTTTTTTTGGTTTACAACATTATTATGTAATAATGTGTGCTTCTGGTACATCAGATCTAGAGTTTAACATCATTCGTCATTCTACAAAGCAATTTTAAGTTGCATATTGAAGCTTATGACAAATACACTAGTGTGTGTATATATATATACACACATATAGTAAATACACACACTGTGTATCTCTATCTGTCTCCACATATCTTCATTCTTCTACAAAAAAGCTTATCACTATGTTTACTCAGGAAGTTTCTATCATCATTAAAATAAATGGTTCTTATTTGGTAATTGCCTAGATGATTAAAATAATTACTGCATTACTGACTTGTTACTTAGACCAGGAGGAGGCAGAGAGTAGGAACTTCAAACTGAAGTAGGATGAGAAACTCGGCATGAGAGACAGATCTGAAGTAGCAATTGAACCCGGGGACAGGCAATAAACAACCACAGTGATGCAACTGCTGGCACGGGGAGATGAAAATGAAGGGCAGGCCTGATGGGCTCAATGGACACATGCCAAGTATGGAAATCCAGTAGCAAGACTCCAGTTTCAACACACCAACAATATAATAAGAAAAAAAAAATAAAGTTGATACTATATCAGTTTTGTTCATTACAAGCAGAGCTAAGCAAGATCCTATATTCTACGGTCTATTTTATGATGTTAAATGTCATGATGGTCTTGGGTTCCTACATGAAGATTTAAAGGAATTTAATTGCCTGTATATCCCAATTTTAGTTAAAACTGGATGGGGGAAGAATACACAGCATCTCAGCAGCTGCTTAGCCCATCCAAACAGCTCTACTGATGAAAGAGCTAGCAAATGGTAGGCACCACTATCTCACATGAACTTCCTCACCTCAGCTGCATTTACACTGTCCTAGGATGGTAACACCTTAAGCTGATGATTCTCACACTGACAAGGATGGGAAGGAGAGAGGCAGTCATGGAAGAAAGGAACGAGTGAACTGCAAGATGAAAGGAGGACCTCAAGGCACAAGACTCCTGACACTGTGAAGCAGGGACACTGCCATATCAAGCTGGAGACACTTCCAGGAACCCGGATGGAGATGACACAATCCCTGAAACGGAAATGTCACAAAGACACAAAGCAATATCGAAGTTAAGTAAGATGACAGAAGAAACTAGTGTCAAATTTTACTCGCAGAAACAATAAAATGCACAGCTACAGAATGAGAACTGACGAGTACTCGTGCAGGGAGGACCTAGGAGTTACAGCTGATTCATGTTCAGCCCACAATGCACATCACAGTGTTGAAGAAAATATGAAGTGTTACACAGAGGTGTACTCAGAGGACTACATGGACATTTGTAGAGAGACACCCATTTTTCTTAACTCAGCTGAAGCCCTGGTTATTGCTTTGAGTGCCACAGTTCACAAAAAAGGCAGAACCATTAAAGGCTAGAAGAGGGGAAAAAAAATGACAATAGGTATAGGAAATGCATCCAAAGACTTGGAAAAAATTTGGGCTGTTTAGTTTAGAGCTGAGAAGAGTCTGAGGGGACATTATGATACACTGTCTTCAAGCACCCAACACTTCTTTTAAGACAAAAGGAATGAAGCGTACCATAATCCCCACAGGGGACAGCACAAAGAATAGAAGACTTAACGTGAAGCAAGAGGGATTTAGGCCAAGACATTAGGACTCTACAAGTAAGGACAGTGAAATTACTCTATAAACCTTCCAGAGCTTCTAGAACGGAAGGATTTTTAAGAAATATGTTACATAAACATCACTTAGGGAGATATTAGACGCAGTTAAGTCTATATTATTGACTAAATGACTTTTGAAACCTATGCAAAGGCTCAAACTCTAGGAACAGGAATATGTAAAAGCCAGGTTTCCAGAAGCAATGAAGTCTACAACCCTCAAGTTGGTGTACACAGCATTTTATTGTTACATTGTAATATGTCCTTACAAAAGGGCTTGAAATCTTTTGTCTCTGCTGTGGAATGTGCAGTTGCAAAGACTAATAATTCAGTTTTTGTGAATAAAAACTTTGTTTTCAAAAAAAGCGAAGAAAAGAATTGGTCTTGACATCTACTTCATTTGAAGACAATGCATCTTCTAAACTATGTCTTCTCTTCATTCTGCTGCTTCTTTAAACCCTGGGTTCTGCAAGCTTCTCAAGTAACGAGAAGGAAATGGATAAATGCTTAGCAATGCAACAGTGCTATTGTGCAGCCACAGCTGAAAATACATTGTGGGGGGGGGGGTGGTGAAGGGTTGCTAGAGAAATCAATAAAGTGAATATATTGGAAAGGACTACTAAACAACCGATTTTGTTTTGCTTTCAGTGCTGTGCCTAGGATTTATGCTACTAAGCAGAACATGAAAGCGATCTTAGATTAAAAGGTATTCGCTTGTACATTGCAATCCTAATACTTAAGCAGTTTCTGCTCCCTAATGGATTACAGGAAGGAAAGGAAAAAAAAAAACCCACCCTTTGCAAAGGGATCAGATAAAGTATGCATACTCGTGACATGAAAAAACTACACTTGTAGGTGCTTGCACATGCCATTTTAAACAGGCAAAACGGTGAGCATCGTGAATAACACAGATTGTGCAAGCCAGCCTTTGATTTTAGAGACAGAATAAATTTTATGCAAACTCATGAATATTTTTGCAGCTGCTGAAATGTTGCACTTGCTAATAAGAGAAATGAGGTCTCCTTATACCTCCACTGTACAAAATGCAACTCTCAAACAGTTGAATGCCCACTGTCACTTTTCAAAGAGCCAGTGCAGAATCCAGGCTAACTGCCAATTAAGGTATGACTTCCTGTTATATACATTTTTATTTATCCCTCAACTAAGTAACCATTTCAAAGAAGTGTAGTCAGTCAAGCTCGCAGAATACATTTGGTACACACTTTTATGCAAGGCACGCATTCAAAAGACTTTCTAAGTTGCTAGAGGTTTTCTGCGGCATAAAAGATAGTTCTGACATGTAACTGTAACACTCTCTCATCCCCAGTCTGGATGACTTAACTTGATGGGATCACGAAGCTCAGTGACTCGTAACTTCGTAAGTTCCAAATGCACAGCGGTAGTTAAGCAGTGAGGAACAGTACGGGTGAGTTATAATTACCTTCATGTAATTATGCCTACATAGGATAGTAGAAGGGAGTCAAATCTGAAAGGCAAGATACTGTCAGCAACTCAGCATAGTTGCCGAGACGTGCCAATAGCACTCTTTGCAGAAGCCAGTGTTTATGGTTGGAGCTATCACTGCTGAATATGTCTTCCATCTGTGTCCACCCTTCCATTCTCTTCTCCCAAGGCATCTGCTGTCCTTCACCATCCTCCCTTATATGACAGCACTTACCAATGCTCTGAACCTTGGCCCTGAACCTTGTAAGGGTACTGCATTTTTTAAATTCATAATCAAAATAATTACAGACAAGCTGATGCCAACAAAAAGAACTGTAGGCTTCTGACAGTGGTGGGGAGGGGCTCTACGATCAGATCGGTTTAGACTTTTGTTCTGCTGTGGCTGTTTACTTCTTGCCCAATGAGTTCTCCAACACGGAGAAAAGTTGGCCAAGATGCCTTTATCTCATAACATGTCTTCAGTCTAAAACAACAAAGACTGGCAAAGGGCTCTCATCTTTGTTGCCAGCAAGGACCTCACCAGACACTAAAGATGTAAAACGTCTGCCTGCTTTTTCCCCAGCAGTTGGCACTTTGTGCTTACTGCCTTGTAGTGCTGCATAACTGCAAGGATTTGGGTCTGCCTTCAGCCCTCCAGAAAGAAGAGAGTCCTGAAATTCAGCTTGGAATGGACAGCTCCAGGCTTACTCTTTTCAGTTTGGCCATCAATCATGGGTAACGTAGACTCTGCACGCTTGACTCTTCCCTCTCTTATATTCCTTCTCTCCTCTATCTTCAATAAGGTTGCATAGCACAGTAAGTGACAGCAAAACTAAACACTTCCATTAATGGGATTGCTAATAAATCTAATTAAACACAGACTGCAAGAGAATCCAGCTTACTATTCCACTGCACCAGAATATCTTCAGTACCGGAGACTATGACAACAGTGGTAAGTTCGTTGAAAATAGTCTCCACTTCCTCAGTGTGAATTTTCTGACAGTGAAAATTAAATACATGTGGGGTTTTGTGTGTGTTTTCTTTCAAAAAAAAAAACCCACAAACAAAACAAACAAAAAACCCAAACCAAAAAACACCAAACCTCACACAACCATTCCTCCCAAACAACCAAACCACCCCCAACAACTAAGCGAGGGGATAATGTAACTACCTATAATGTACTCAGCGCTTTTCATACAGGGTCACTAGTAATACCAAGGATTACAATGTAGTTTTCAGATCTGAGATTTTGAGAATAAACTTATCTCTAATTTAATTTTTTTTTTTTAAAAAAAAAGGTTTTAAAAAGAAAAAGAGATGTTTGTGTCAAGGTGCCAGAGATAAAAAGACAGACAACCGTACAACTGCCAAGTAGCTCTAACTAAACTGTGTTACAATGGTGCCATCGTAGCCACCCCAACATTAGTGAAATGAAGAGGGGGGGAAATCCTACTGTGGGTGAAGCTAAATAATTCTATTAAATTTAATAAAAGCTACATAGATGTAGTACATACATGGTCAAAGGATTAATATATAATTTAAATATTGTATATCTGTGTTGCGAATGTTTAAATATAAATATAGTATCAAGCAACTCAGATTCTACAGAAATCAATCCCGCTACAAAAAATCCTTTTACTTTTTCCTTCATGTTATTTCCTATATTTATTTGAAGAACACATTTAACATGCAGGATCACAAGAAAGCAAAATTTTCCTGTCAAGATTCTTTATCAACATTTTATAATAACTACAGTAGTTTTAATGTTTCTTCCCCTCCCCATGCCCCTAAAAATAACTATGCACTTAAACAATGGAATAGAACCTGTCAGGCTCAGAGAAATGCAGGTTGCAGGACCTCCTGTATCAACTAAATAAAACTGCTTAAAAGTGAGTATATTTAATGCTAACTTCACATATAAAATACCTACTCTTTTACTATAAAATGCACATCTAACCTCTTGCTTCTCCCTTTGGAAAAGTAATCCTCATTAGGGAGAAGCCACTCCTAATACACTAAAACTTAACATGCTTAAGACAGACAAGTCACAGACTCTTCTCCAATTCTATTTTATTTTGACTGGAAGAGTACCCAACTTTTGCCACTAATTATTTACTGCATAACCCCAAGAAAAATCCCACAGTAGGAAAAAATAAAAAGAGAGGAAAATAGATTGAAAACCCACTTACTCCCACACATGTAAAGGTAATGCTTAAGGATAGCTCAAATAAAAAAAAATATACTGAAATAAGGAAAGAAAGAGTCTGTAATAAACTAAAAACTGTTAAGTAAGAACTAGCAGTAGATTAACAGCCATCTCACAGATAGGGTTTCAGTTTCATTGCCTTTAAACAAAACTTACAAAAAGAAAAAATACCTACTGGTGTCTGCCTGGCTGCCCACACTGATGTATCGGTCATTTCCAGGAAGGGCTGTTTGGTAGTAAGTCGCCTCCTCCAGCTGGGGAACCTTGGCATTCTTCGCAGTGAGAAAAGCCACGGCCAACTCGAGATTGCCATTGCTGTCCTTTAACGATCAAAAAAAAAAAAAAAAAAATCAAAACAGAAGTGAGAGTCCCCCCACTCTTTTTTATTTGTCTTAACAGCAAAAGACAACATTACAAGCAACTCAGAAGACCAATGACATACTGTATTTTCAAGTGAAATGCTGATTTAAAAAAAAGAGAGTTTCCAAGCTTGAAATATTCTGCATATTTTACTATTTTTAACCAAAATGAAGACAGAACATCTTCTAAAACTTTGGTAGAATTCCACTTATTACAGAAAAAAAACTGAAGGTCACGTAGTGTAGGTCAACCGCTCAACAAGCACAATCAGTACACTCTCACAGGCTTCAACAGCAGTCAGCTGAATTCTTCTGAAGATCTACCATTTCATTCTTAAGGCCAGAAATACTGGCTTTTGAGGGGCAGTTGTGTACATGACTTATGCCGAATCTGAAGCCACAACTCTCTCTCTGCATATATAGATTTAAATTCACTAAATCCTCATGTATAAATAGCAAAAAAGCTCTGCTTGAGGGAGACGAGGAGAGTTCTTCATTCTGGAGACAGAGCAGGACCTGTCCATGACAAAAAACTCAGCTACACCTTGACAAGAAGATACCAGGTAACTCATCAGGAGCTGACCAGCTGTTCCAGAACCAAGGTATCTCAAAACACTTCAGCCAAAGGTTAAAGGTGAGTCCCACCATTCCTGACTTTTCATTTTTGAACACCAGATTAGTTTTTATGTCAGTACCAAAAAAAAAAAAAAAAAAATCAAGATTGCTTCTAAAATAAACAAGCTTTTTTCCCTGGAATAAATCTAAAATGTATTCAAGCTGGGAATGGACAGGAAGCAAAGGAAGACAGAGTAAGAAGAGGTGGGGTTTATGGCCCTCACAGGCAGTTATTGACAAGATGTATACGTTCAGCAACAAGTCAGACACATCCATCTTACCTTCAGTGCCTGCTGTAGTACCTGGATGTCATTGATACCAGTGATCTCCCTCAGCTGATTTAAAAATGTTTGCTGATGCTAAAAAGAAAAACAGATAATCAAATTAAGACAAGAGCCAACTAACAGCAAAACTAGTTACTTACAAGTGTATGCTCCTCTACAAACATTACAAGTATCTCCATATCACCTTTATGCACCACAAAGGGGTAGAGCCTTCGTTATTCAAGTCTGTCTCAGCCTCTGCAACTTGGGCACTTTTAACTCCCAAATGTAAAGTTACTGATTGGTTGGTTTTGATGATGGGTGAGCTTACGAAACATGGGTTTAAGGAGCCTATATAAAGCCACAACTGGCCCTCCTAAACAAATAAAACTTCATAGCTTGGTCTTCAAAGGCAGCAGGGAAAATAGGTGACTGAACTCCCTTCAAAACCCATTTCTTCTACTCCCAACTATTTTCCATCCACTATTTTCTTACCATGCACAGTTCCCAGCCACTTCAACCTCAAAACTAAGAAATTAATCCTTACTGATCATTTATTTAGGTGTTTTAAGAGAAGTACTGACATCCACACAAAGCAGAGTTTCTAGATACTAAAGCAAAACCTTAGGAACCCATCTTAATAGCCTTCCTAGACCAGTTGAATCCAGTTCTCCCAGATCACAGTATCAACCAGCACTTAAGACTGAGTTTCATGTAACACTTGGAGTCAAAAAAGCATAGGAGGTTCCAGGTCTCTTAACTTTTAAATTCAGATGAATTTTGAGGCTTTCGGGTTATTTTTTAATGAAAATCTGGTCCCCCTCTTGTTTACAGTGAACAGATGAGTCTCTCCACTCATGCTCAGATAACACATCACAAAAGCAAAAAGCAGGCACTGGGCTGGAACAATCCTTGAACTCCAGTTAACCACTGAAAACCATCTCAACCATCTTAACCATGAAAACATAGAGGACTGCCCATTGTTCCATACGAACAAATTCCATTTCTTCCTTTGGGAGACGAGGAAAAGGAGAAAAACTCGGTGGTATGTGCAAGTGGTTTTTCTTTTTTTATTGTTTGCCCACCACATCCTGAACTCAAAACAGTAATTTCATCTATAAAAGAGAAGATTCTGTAAAGTACAGGCTTTTGTTTGCTAGACAAAAAGCGTATTTCCTATCAGTGACAAATAAACGTTCTCATGTGACTCTACAAATTCAATTTAAAAAAAGAACCATAACTGTCTTGCAGCTACTTCTGAAATACTTTCCTTTAAAACTAATTATTTGGAATCAAATATTCAAATACCCTTATTCTCCCCTTATCACAGCTTTGTATAAAGGGGGAAATTAAAAGCTGCATGAATGCTGAATTCCCCAGCGTTAAATTAACCTGACAGGCACTACTTCATGCCCTAATAAGTTGAAATAGAAGGCGTATAGTTCAGGATGTTTATGAATTACATACACAATCTTCCCTTCATTTATGATCCTAAGGGACTCTGCTAACAATCCAATTTGCCTTTTTTTTTTTCCTTTCCTTTTTAAAAGCCCTGCTATTGGCACAAGAAGAGTGAAGTGACTCCAGAAAACAAACTCCCACTCTATCCCCATCCCTCACTCCTTATTTGTTTACTCTGTGCATTTCATAGCCCTGTACAAAGGCAGGATTTGTTTCCCCTGTAAAGTTGCTTTCCTGCCCCTGGGTCTAGCCAGAAGCAAAGAAAAGAAAGAGAGTATTTGGGAAAAGTAATTACAACAGCATTAAAAGTGGCAGGAGCAATTCAAGGGCAGTGCATGGTGGCAAAAATGGATTTATTTTTGTATTTGCTACCAACGTGGTGGTTAATAAAATGTAAACCAATTTCACTATAAATTATTATAACAAGTTACAACAGATTTCTGTATCTTCCACAATATATACAACACTTGGAAAGGCTGACTGGAGGATATCCATCGCTCATAGAGATTGGGAAAAGACAGAAGAGACATAGTTTACAAACAAACAATCTCTTAGCAGTTTGTAATATTGGCTGTTAATTTATGAGCACAGCTGTGACTTATAAACATAGACATCTATAGTTTATATCCAGATTTTAGTATTCTGGTGTAAAGCTGTGGTTCAAGGCCTCCTTCCCAAGGACAAACACATTTAACAGATCAGAACCAGAGCCAGAGATGCTCCTTTCTCACCAGGAGATTATTTAGGTACCTCAATATACTTTTTCAGAGCTAAGAGTTAAAAGCAATCAGCTCCAAAATTTCTAACTGGTAATTAAGTGAATAACACAGAGAATCCATAATCATCCTAGTTACAAGTGACAAAAATTAAAAGGAAAATTAACAGTTGTCCTGAATACCTCAAATGGAGCTAAACTGTTTTGGGGCCACTAACACCAGAGTCAGACATAACTGGCTTTCCAGGTAAGTGTGGACAAGCTGCCATTACTCTTTAATTGGGTTATTTCAAATCACACAGAAGTTAAAGACTGACGATACCTTTCCCTTCCTAGAAGGGGGAGGAAAAAGATAAAAACAAAGCACAACAACAACAAAGTATAATTTCTTTCCACCTGATCAAGGTGTTCTCTTAATACCTGCTAGGAGACTCACAGGTTCAGAAACAATTCTGAAGCTGCATAAGGCAGCTAAGAACTCCTTAACCAGACATTAGACCGGCAGTCTTCTCTCCTACACATTGACCACTCTCCTGTCCTCCTCTCGAATCTGACATAACTGCATCATCTGTGCTGTGCACAGACCTTTCTTGGAACTGCATATTTAACTTTGCCATTACTCTTCTTCAGTTATACTGACAATATGTTATCCTCCACGAAACTGTTCATACAGGTAATTCTATTTCTTATTACCCATAACTGAAGTTTGGAAACTAATTTCTAATGCAACCTACAAACAATTAAGTCTCTTTTGTATTGTAACCGATATTCAATAGAATACTTACGACACAATGCAAGCCACCCTCCTTACTCCTATGAATGCTCTGCCTGATCACACCTACCCTAGAAGCTTTGCTCTTCCTGGAGCTTGGGCTATCTTGAGTTGAAGTGACTGCAGCATACAGACTCTCAAGTGTCCACAAACAGTAATGTAGACATTCCAAACAATTATGATCATCATTCACTCAAAGGCTTACCAAAAATACCCCAGAAAGCTCACACTATGCTAAAGCAAAGCTAAAAAATGAAGAAAGTGGCAAAAAAGTATTTACCAATGTCTGAAGCACCTTCACCAGTGTATATTAAATTAAACCAGGTCAGCGAGGGAGATTCAGAACACAACTAACATAACCCAACATACACAAGCTGTTTCCTTTTTTCAACACAGCTCTTCCCTGATTCCCTATTTTTTCCAACCTTGCATTAGTAGAAGTTCAAGTTCCAAAATATAACTTGCTGCACTTCAATCCAATTTAATAAGCAACCTCTCATCAAATGCAGATTCAGAGAGATTATTCTAACAGAACTAGGTGCAACTACTGGTGCAAAGAAACCCACTTCAGTTCTTTCAGAGCTTATTTGGCTGCACCTGCTTCTGTTTGCTATCCTGACCTCTAGTTTACAGGACAAATCCATAGTTTATCTATGGCACAGATTCTCCAGTTTATTGAGTCAATACTCCACGTATATCTGCAGCATTTATGCACCCCCAAATGTGTTACCTTATGCATGCACACACACATCATCCACACAGCTTGAATCACACTTGAGTCAACTCTAAGAAGGCTCTGGTCTACAGCACCAGGGCAGGGCAGCCCAAATTGGTGGCCAAGCGAAGGAGATGGCCCGCTGATGCTACAGCTGCCCTGAAATCCAGCTGCTCACACCCTCTAGTCCCACATCACACACCACCAGTTCCCCAGGGCTTTCATGCATGGGCTATTCCCAGCCTTCCCCCTTCCCCTGGCTCCCTGAGGTATGTGGTATGTATCTCCAGGCTTTTCGCTCTTGGAAGATTTTAACTGACAGGAAATTCTCCCTTTTTCCTGGATGAAAGCCAAATTTGTGTATTAGGAATGCAAGCCGTTATTTCCAATTTTTTCCTTTTTCAGCCATCCCTCCCTTCCTCTCAGGAAATGCCCAATTAAGATTATCTGGTTTATAAACTCACACAATAGCATATTCAGTAGCTTTGCCAGCACTAGTGGAGCAGAAAAGGATCTGCACTGTATCTGCTTAGGGAGATACTGCATCTAAATTAGTTTCACAACAGTACTGTAAACTCTGGTAACTTATGAAAATCTGAGCAAAGTTAAATTACACAAACCTCTTTTTGGACAAGGTAAATCTCCTAAATTGATTCTGAATTACACTGCAGCTAAATTTGGGGGAAAAAAATATCCACCTTTTGATCTGTTTATTTTCTCATCTCTGCAGCTTTTGCAGAAGTACATGTAAGCTCTGGCTTTATTCATGGCAACATCCAAATATTTGTATTTGCAACACAAGCACTTACAAACTTAGAAGATAAGACAACCCTCTTCAGTTTCCAAGCACAGAAAGTCATATGTTTACTAATAAATGAGATGGTCCAGCCATTACCAAGAGAAAACAGGGCCTACTGCCTGACTATGCAGTTCATTTAAATAGTACATAATGAAAATGAGCTATGGGAATCCCTTCCTTCAAGGGATGAATACTTGTACTAGAGACAAAAAGAAAGAGGGGAGGAAATGCAAATGCTGGTAACAGCATCTTGACTCACCTCTTCCACCAAAAAAAAAACCTGTTTACTTTTCAGTGCAACACCAATTTATACATAGGAGCTATTTGTTGGAGGAAAACCCGAATGACATTGCACAATATATTTAACATTAAAAGCAATTCTAATGTAACCCGAGATGCTGAGGACCTGCTAAAAGGACTGCTTCCACACAAGTAGCTAAGAAGGTAGTTTCCTCATATCATCCTGCTGTAATGTGAAAAATACTGAGATTAGCAGAATGTAATCCTGTGTAAAAAGGCTTTCAGTTTCTGTGACAAACAAACAAAAAATAGGAAATGTACAAAGGATGAGTATACTAAAGACCCTCAATTACTACCGTGAATGTTATTTTCTGCCACATTAATCATATCTCCC